GTTGGGGTCTTTTAGAAAAAAGTTTCAAAGGGGGCTCTTTTAGATTAAGATCCCTTGATCCCTCCATAGCTTAACCATCGATCGAGTTCAACGTGATGGGTATCGATTCAGATGCCACGTGGTGCCATCTCTTTTTGGATAACAAAGAAGAAGAAGAGAGGGCAGGGCCCATTATAATATGGCCCAGAAACACACAATTTTCGTATTTTCGCTCCAAAAGTAATCAAAATTGGTTTTGGTTAAAGACAAAACAGGAAGGCAATCAAGAAGTTTTTATTTTTTTTGGGTTCGTAAAGAAAAATGCTGCATAGGGGGGATTCGAACCCATCACCTGAAACTATCAAAAACCATCCTCAACCACTACACCACAAGACAGGTTACAAAAAATCAAGAAGTTGTTTTACTCATGTTTATTTCGTTGTTCTCACCATACACAACAACTTCAGTAGTAGTAAAGAATCATTTCAACAAACCTGAAACTGTTTAGGGGCTTTTTTGTACCATTGAATTTATGTCCCTCGAAGCTTGGGTACGGACGGTGTCTTTAGATCAGTCTGCAATTAGTCATTAGCCTTTGCAAGCAACACAGACCAGAGTAACCATCAACGTTTGGCTTAAGAGCATGAACCTAAGAAAATTCAGTCATCTTGATCTCATGTACTCCGGCTTAATTCACAGAGAAATATTTTTACACTTCTCTATAAGAAAATGAAAGACGCCGCAAAAGTTGTTCACAGACACAATTGATCAAACAGGTGGTATGCACTCGGTTCCACTAACTTACCCTAATTCTTCTAGCCAACTTGAACTCAAAATCAGTTTACACGAACAAGCTTTTTAATATTTTACATCAGAAAATTCAAGGAATAACAAAGAAAATTCAGAACCAACCAAACACAAAAGAAACAAAGATATCCGATGCAACTTCAGAATAAAGAGAGAAACAGAACAATAGTTTTGGGTCATGAAGGCTACTCAATGCCGCCTACATGAAGGTAAGAAACGATGTTGTGTGGCTTCGTCCTCCCATTCAATCCCTTTTATCCATTCTTCATCTATGTACTGCATGACAAGTTCTTCGACTTTGAAAACGCTTTTAGAATCCAATGGAAGCTTTCTCAGCTTCGGACAATTGTCGAATACGCCAAGATGGCTCAGACGTGGAAAAGGCAGAGCATTCCAGTACATGCTCTTCAGCTCTGGCATCTGAAACAAGGTAAGTCTTTCTAGTTTCTGGAAAGGAATAATATTACATGTCTCCTTGTCTAAAAGGCTCGCAGCTTTCTCTTTGCTTATTATCTCCTCTACTTGCAACCCCAAAAGTCTAAGTTGAGTAAGGTTTGGAGCGAACAGCAGCCACGTCAGATCCTTTAAACCATCACACCTTATTATTTTCACATAAGAGAGGTTTGAGAAGCATGGACTTGTCAGACTCTTGTCCCATGGTGTCTTCTCTATCTTTATCTCCCTCATTCCACAATACCATATCCAGACTTTACAGAGATTATCCATAGCTGGCAAAACTAGTTCTCTTACTGGTTCTTCCGGACGCTCCTCAATAGAAACTTCTTGAATACATCTCCCCACTCTGGGATCATATACCAATAGATTCCAACCAAATTTGACGAGACAATTATGCTTATGAACTCTAAATGTTCTAACAGCTGCAGCTCCTTCATTAGGCTCACATCTAGCCTCACGTTGGAGTCTCGTAGTTTCAATGTCCTCAAACTCGACAAATTTGATATCCCATCTAAACTCTTAAGTACACTCGTCTCCTCCAAATGCAGATGTATTAGCATTTTCAACTCTTGTAAACCAACTGGTAGTCGCTCTATTTTTGTCCATGACAAGTCAAGATATCTCAGAGAAACCAAACCTGATATTTGCTCTGGCACTCCACTGAGAGAATTGTGTGATAAACCCAAAACTAGCAGCCGAGGCATAGACTTAAAGAATTCATCTGAGATAGTTACTAATTTATAGTTTTCCCCAAGGAGGAGAGTTGTAAGTTCAGGACAGTCAGGGATCTCAGATATCTTTTCAATCTCACTCTGCATTAGCGACATTCTTCTCACGTTATTCCAGTTCTTGACTTTTGGTACTTCACGTAATCCGACACCAGCTTGCACAATGCATCTTTCTTTATACTTTCCAAGATCAGATGCTATCCATAGCGCCATCTCACGAACCACATCATGCATACTCACNNTCNATTTNTNNNTTNNTCNNTNCAACANTAAACATGCACGAACAAGGGTGCCGAGTATCTCATAACCTTGATTTAATGCCTTCTCTCTGCCTTCCTTCTCATCTATGAATCCCTCACCTATCCAGTACTCTATCAACCTTACTTTCCCAATCTGATAATCTTCAGGAAACAAAGAGCAATAGAGGAAACACGATTTCACCTGCTCACCATTTAAACTATCATAGCTATACTTCAAAATCGGAAGAATCTCATCTTCCATGCCTGAATTTTGCAGCATATGAAGTCAAAACGTGAACTGCCTGATGCCATTCTGGTGCTGTGCTTTTGCTCGCCATAGTTTCACCAATGACATTAAGTGCCAATGGTAGGCCACGACATTTTCCAGCGACTTTTCTTGCAAGATCGGGAATGTCTGGGTGGCTTCTCAGTGTGTTTTCCCCAACCTTCTTTCTGAACAAATCCCAGGCTTTGTCGGTGTCCAGACAACTGACTTGGATCGGGTCATCAACCCCCATGCGCCCACACACATCTCGAGAGCGGGTGGTAAATGCTATTTTGCATCCGTTTTCTCCGTTCGGATACGGGATCCCAGTGACATTTANGTTCACTTTCTCCCATATATCATCCAACAACAACACAAACTTCTTCCTCTTAAGAACGTTGTAAATGTCACGAGCTCTCTCGTTTTCGTTTTTCTCGTCCCAATCTCTCCCCCCAAGGCCTAGTTTCTTCGCGATGTCTCCTTGAATCTTATGGACTGTGGCATTTTTAGACACCACAACCCATATCACGACATCAAATCTGCCACTTATTTCAGAAAACTTATTGTTGATCTGTGTGAGAAGAGTGGTTTTGCCTACTCCACCCATACCATACAGACCCACAACACCGACTTTGTCTTGCATTAGACGATTCCATACCTTTTCGAGCATTGTTTCCTGACCAACAATTGTGGGTTGAATAGGCAACTCTTCGACCTCAACTCTTGGAGCTGCCTCGGTCACCGCATCAAATTCTTCTCCTTGAGAACTGAGACTCTCAATCTCCCTCAACATCAGAATAACCCTTTTCCCATAACGATAACTCAATTTCAAATCTTTGGAGCAAACACCACAGAGACACAACCTTTGAAGCTCAATCTTACTAGTTCTAACAAGATCATTAAATTCGGTTTCAACGTCTACGATTCTCGTAAGCCATACCTGGACTTGAAAAAGCCTTTGACGACACCTTGTAAACTCTTCTATGTCTACCTTTCTTTGAACATCATCTCTCTTCGCCTTGAGATCTCCCACGGCTTTCTCGAGAGACGCTAGATTCTCGGCGAGGTTGTGAATATAACTCACCTTGACACAAAAGCATTGAGAGCATTGATTCACCACTTGATCACATGGTAACGAGACAGAGAAACAGCCTCCCATCGCTGCACCAGACGAGATAGATTCACAGACCAAAACAAGAAGCTAAGCAAATATTAGAAAGGAAGGAAAGATATGAATAAGGTATTTGAATAATATGCTGTCTCCAACAAAAAGAAAAGGAGCATATAAATAGAAGAACAATCCCATATGCCATATCCTTTTCTATTATTCCACGTTTCACATCTTTGACACAATATACCCACGCAACTTTAGTAGCTTAACGTGAATTTGATGAAACTCCTGTTCAAACATAAATGTTGTTCGATCTGGCTCTGGTTCTGTCCGGTTAGAGACAAACCGGGAAGCTGGTTTACATGACTATGAGGAAGAAGGTTTAATCATATACAACAAATTGAAAAGATAAGCAGAATAGTTTAAAAATCATTAAATTAAACAAACCTGAAAGCCTTTACGGGTTCAGAGTTTATATCCCTCGAAGCTAAGGGCTTGGATACGCTTCCGGTAGCCATCAGAAGCTCAGTCTGCAATTTTTCATTAGACTTTTGCAAGCAACATAAGAAGAGAAATCATCAACGTTTGACTGATGAGCATGAACCTTAGAAAATGCAGTCATCTTGATCTCAGATACTGGACATAATATTTACACTTTCCTTCAAACAAAAACGAATCACTTGAAGAAGAGAAAAACAAACAAAAAAGCTCAAGAAATTCTTCACAGAGACAATTCATCAGACAAGTGGTGTGCATTCAGTTCCACTAACTTAGTCTCTGCCCTAGACAAGTCGAACTCAATCAGATCCATCTTAATTCTTAAGTATACATTATAAACACTCCACACAGACAAATCAAATCAACGGAAATATAAACACCAACACAATCCTTCACGTAAAAAACACCATCAAACCTACTTTTCATTCTCTTCTTTTGTTCCCTTTGTCTTTTTTTTTGTGGCGGGTATTTAAAGCCGTTTCCTTTCAACGGTAAGTACTGCCACGTCGCAGTTTCACAATGCGAAATTTTCACTTGGATTAAGAGAGCTGGTTACTATTATCATTGGCTTGTGTTGTGTTACTCTTTGAACCGGTTTCAACCGGACAACGTATATATTAATTACCCTGTACTGTACCGAAATCTGCTTTCATTCTTGCTTTATGTATGTTGTATTCTTTTCACAAGTAAAAAAGAAACAAGTGGGATTTTTGTGTTTTTTTTGGTATTAACTGAGATCTTACGCTTGAGAGATTTAATTTTTTACCCAATTCATGTAAGTAAAAAATAACAAGCAGGTATGCTGTATGCAAATATCAAAATTAGATCAAAGTTTCGGTTTCACTTAACCATCTATAAAATAGAACCTCCATAACAAGAACCAATTCCGAGTCGAGGCTGAGACCAAAACTACCATAACAAGCACCCGAACTACAATGTCAGGGGAATAAGCTGTTTCAACATTGCTCTGATGAGCTACAAGTACAATTTACCTTAACCATGAAGAAATTATGTTGTTATTCAATTACAACAGAGCAAAATCCAAAAGCACATGATTAACTTCAAGCTTTCACGCCAAGTGAAGGATACCAAAAAAGCTTAAGAGCAACACAAGATCTTTAAATCATTTCTAAATCTTTTGCTCTCCATTTCAGATATCAACAAAACACAAGAAGTCAAGAAGAGAAGATAGTCCCATTCAAGATTCAAAAAGGCTTATTGTGTTGTGCTTACTTAAGTGTAGAATTTCTGATGCAGAACACTAAATCAAGTCATGAACGAGCCAAAAGAAGCTATCAGAATTCAGTGTTAGATATCTAAATCAAACACATTTCGGGAGGGGGGGGGGGGGCATCGAAAGAGCGAGAAGCAAACACATTGGAATCAACTAGATTCCTTGATCCAATCCAACGAATAACAACGACATAAAGAGTGGAACTTTTTGTAAAAATCGAGAGACTAAACATTCATAGAATAAGATAGGAATCAACCACACAACATTTCCATTAATAAAACGAAAAACCAAACATGAAGAAGAACAATAAAAGTTAGTACTATCCCAGAGCAATTCCCAATTGCAATGCAAACAAACCCTAGGATTCGCTCGAATCAACAGACAAAGTAAAAACAAAT